TAAAAAAAAGAAAAACAACAGTTGGCCTACGTTTGCAATGTAATTTGTGCTGGAAGAAGCTAGAGGTCCTCATGGGAGGTAAGCTCCTGAATTTTGTACCAAGCATTGACATTAATAAATGACTAAAGTCTCATATGGTGATTCTGTTTGGGACTCAACGATTTACTGCTGCTTCTGTTGATGTCAGTATTATCTAGAACTAGTGCTGTGACAGGGAAGGCTGACTGATACCTGGCAGCCAATTTGTTAAAATTCTCCCATGCTTCTTTTTATCGGTGTGGTAGCTCTCAATTCAGAAAGGTAGCTGCTCTGGTGTTTTGAAAGGAGTATTTTCTCTCTTGCCACTGAGGGTGATAAAATAGGCAATGTTATCTTAACAATTCACATAAATGAAAGATTGATGACCCCTAAATAGAGACACTATCATAAGCTACAAGTCTCAGGATCCCCTAAGTACTCGCTCTACATTAGCATCCACCTGTGATGTGATGAGATGCCCCAGCATTCAAATGAAGGCTAGAAAACAAAGAGCTGGCGGTAGAAAACAGAATGGTGGTTAGGGTGGCCAGAGCACAGATCTGATGAGTAAATTGTATTTGCTCTGCTTTTAAGCAGCTGCGGCTGCTACTAGACTGTGCCGAGGTCCTCACGGTCCTGGCCCCACATTTGGGGAAGGCCTGTTGTCCTCTGGAGATAAGAGTTGGCCAAGTAGAGTAGGGAAGCAAAGCCCATCAAGCCCAGTAACCAAAAACTTTGACTTATTAATGGAATAGTCATACTCAGAGAAACATAACTTTGGCCCTGACCTAATTGGCTATTTTCATTGTCTTTACAATAAGGTGAATATTAAGTATAAACTATTCGTGAAATTTTAGCCACTGGCTAGGTAAAAGAGGTTTGTTTTTTTAGGAATTAGTCATTTTAGCAGGTAACTTTCAAAAGCTGGGAGAGAGCATACATTTCCCCCATATATTTGTTCTCTATTAAGTTGTCCAAAATGGACTCCACATAACTATGAGGTGTGACCAGATAATTGCTAGCATTTGGTGATCAGTTTATCATATGCCAGCCATTGTCTAATATGTTCTACATATTTTAATCTTACTTAATTCTCACAACACCTATAGGAAGTACCTATTATTGTCCCCATTTTAAAGATGAGAAAACTAAAGCTGAGATTAAATAACTTGCTTGAGGTCACATAGCTGGTCATGATGACCTCTTGATTTGACCCTAAGCAATCTAACTGGCAATAAAAGGCCAGCTGTTTACCAGAATTCTGTGCATGTGAGCCATGTCTATAAAATTAAGCTGAAAAAGAGAAAACGTCCTCTTCTAAAACTAGAAAAAATGATTTAGTCGTTCATAGGCTGTGGGTAGGACTCAATAATATATGTAAGATGCTTAGAACAGTGCCAGCTCCCTGGTGGCTTTGAGTAGATATTAGGTATCATGATTGTTGTTACTACCTTAAAGGTGAAGTTTCGGTGTTATAAATTCTTTGGCTTGCCTTTTCTCACAGGGGGCTTGGCCCCCTGGGAAGGTGGCCTAGTGCCTTAGGTGAATAAACACAGTAATTGTAAGCCTCGGAACTAAACCTGGGTGGCACTTTGAAGATGGGATTAAAACACTAGCAAGCAGCTGCCAAGTACCCAGCAGAGCAAGGATCTCAGTGTTTGGCAGATTTTCTGTTCAGCATTCTCTCTGAGAGCAGGGTTTTCCCAGTGATGCATTTTATGAACATGTCAAAATGCCACTTGTTTCCTGTACTTTTCTGATAAATGCAACATTTAGAATCTGCTCTGTTACTTAAACACTAAATATTCCAGTTTTAAAAAAAAGACTCCACCTTACCCCCTTACTTCAGAGCACCCTGTAGGATTATAGTAGGAGAGATGATGGCTTCCTCTAATTCTGTGGGTGCAGAGACCTCTAGACGCAAGCAGTGCTTTGGCCTTTGGTATTTAAAGGATGCCGTACAGTTTCCCTACTGCTCTGTGGTTGTTATAGATGGAATGTGTGTGTCCCCTCTAAACTCGTGTTGCAGTGCTAAACCCCAATGTGATGGTATTTGGAGAAGGGGCACTTAGGAGTTAATTAGAGCCAGATGAAGTCATGATGATATGGCCCTCATGATGAGATTAGTTTCTATCTGAGAAGAAATACCAAAGAGCCAGTGAGCATGGGAGACAATAGAACTGTAATGGTGTCCATGTTACGCAAAAGAAAGCACTGCCATCTCCCTAAAGTCAACAGGCTTTTTTTTCCCTTTTTTTGCTTTTTTTTCTTTCTGAGGTGAGTAAGGCAGTGAAGAGGCTGGCAAGAGGCTGAGTGTGAACCTAGAGACATCAGGTTCAAAGAGCAAAAGGAAGATGATTAGCAGACCTACTTTTTTGACATTCTTCTCAGTGAGATCATCCCAATTAAATGACTAATTTTTGCCTTAGGAATGTTGGTTTTTATCCAGAAAGATCTGATATGAAGACAGATTAAAAGAGAGTAATGGGAATAGTCCACTATATTAAAAAAAAATGCACTTCCCGTTTTGGAGTTCATTTATATAGATGCTAATAGGATTGACTTGGCTTCTTAGCAAAAGATCTGAGTTTCTAAGCATCACTACAGCCAAAATTGTTAGGTAATAGTTTGAGAGCCTTTTGATCTGGCTAATTAACATGGAGCTTGGCTCACCTGATTATATGACTCTGCCAGAAACTGGGTTTGGGTTTGTTAATATAGCATAATAAATTCAAAGGAAACTTCCTTGGGCCATCTATCCAAGAACTGTTGTGTTTTATTATTTGAAAATGAGTCTCCCTGTTTGCATAAAGAAAAAGTGTTAAGTGTATAATTTATCTTGATTTTAAAAATTAACCACCACATTGCTTTTTCCGGGTGAATAAGAGACACCCTATGTACTACCACGCTGGATAATTCAGCAGTCCATTCAGTCCATGTATGTCTGTTGCCTGATACGTCACAGGCCATGTGCGAGGTACTGGGGGTGCTGTGGTGAAACATAACAGGCCAGGGCCCCACCCTGTGCCTATTTGTCTTAGATAAGATTAAGGCCACCTGCGAGTCAACCCACTTCTCAACTCTGACCTCAGCTAGTCTTCTTTCCAATTACTGCCGGGGCCAGGACAGAGACCATGAGGCGGCGAGGCAGCCGACAGAGGTCATCCAGAGGAGCAGGGGAGGGCGGAGGGGCACTCGGCCGTCTGTGTTGAAGGAAAGCAAAAGCGCCCTTGCAGCATGGTTGGTAGAGTTTAATATTAAACTTAGAGCGATTGCGAACAGAGTGACAGATCCAAGGACGTGTCACCCCAGCTATACAGCACTGTACAGAAAGACTGTTCGGTTAGACCGACTAAAGAGCAGCAGAACATGAAGTGGAGAGGGAAACCTTCTGAAATTCGGGTCCCAGATAAAGACCGTTCTTGTAATCACCTTGATTAAATTCACCAATACCCAGTAAGGTGAGACTAGAAATTCATACCAGAACCTACTAATGTGTCGTTGGCTATATGAAATTATGCTCAAGTAAATTGTAATCTGTATATGTTCTCATTTCATAGTACAAATGGAATCATTTTAATGAGTCCCTTTTTTGTCATGAAAAGTCGTGTATTAAAGGCCACCAAAATGAAACCTCCATGGGCAGGGACTACAATTTATTCACTGCTATACCTATTCACAATACCTAGCATGGTGCCTGTGTGTAAACCTTTGTCATGTTTTCCGGCTGGCCAGGCCTTTTGACTACCCTTCCTGTTTAGGAAAGGTCTCCCCTTACATACCCCACTTCCCCAAAGTAGCATCCAGGAAACAAATTTCCCAGCCTCCCTTGCAGCTGAGAGGCATGTGATCCAGGCCCCATTAACTAGCTGCACCCACGAGGGACTTCCATTCAGTAGTGAGCAACACAAGAAAGTGGGCCTTACCCAAAACCCAATTTTTTTTTTTTTTTTTTTTTTTTAGCAGAAGTGAGAACTGGAGTATCAGGCTTTGTCCTCCAGTAAGCTTTCCCTGAACATTCCCCAACCCTCTGCAGGGGGCTAAGTCAGCTACCCCTCCTCTAGGTCTACTTTTTCATCGTATTGTCCCATTGTGTTATAATTACTAGTATCTTTTATTAGGTTGCAATCTGCGATAATATTTAAGGTAATACGAGGTAATGCTCTCACCGGTGAACCAAGAATATCCAGTAAATCAAACACAAAAGAAGTTCCCCTTTCCCAATCATATCAAGTCAAAACAGGGTAGCTGGGACAGCAGACAGCCCTGCTTGCAGGAGCTAATTCCGGGATCCTGGTATCTTCCATCTTGTGGCTTCATGTCTGTACCACGTGACTTCCCAGGCTGCCATGCCCATCTGAATGAGGCCTGAAGGCCAAAAGCATGGAGAGTCACACACTGGAGGGGTTATGAGCCAGGCCCTGAAGTGATGTTTATTATGTCTATTCACATTCTATCGCTCGGAGCTACATGCTCAGAGCATGGCTACACCTAACGGACAGATACGATCTAGCTTATTGCAGCTTCTTCCAGGTAAGCGTACATAGACAACAGAAAATTATGATAAAGTGCCATATCTTCAGTTTCTATCTTTTCACTTGCTTCCTTCTCCCTCAGCTGGGAAAAAGGATTACAGTAAGAAGGCTAACCCTACAGCAGCCCTCCGTAAGTCGCAGACAGATGTGGCTCCGACCTGGATTCCCTTTCCTTGGCTCTCCAGTGCTTTTTTGCTAAACATTTCTGTTTGGGGGGGGCACATATTCATTGGATAGTTATTTCTAAATGCTTTGCCTAAAACTGCTTTTATCTCCAGGCTCCCCATGTGTCAATTTGAAAGGGAAAGTGCTTAGCATGCAGCCTGGGCGCCACATGTGTTCTGACACGCTGGCACATGGAAGCATTAGGAGGTTCCAAATCGTTGCCTATCGGCCACCCACAGGCTAATGAAGGAAACGTCTTTTTCTTTTCTCTGCCTCTCCTAGGTGCCTTATCAGCGGCCAGGGAGAGCTGGGAATACGACTCAGGTGCCAGGGACCTCCAGAGCCCGGACTTGCAGAGTCAGCCGGCCCTACAGAAGCTTCTTGAGTATGGTGGAAGCGCTTTGCATCAGCAGGCTGCTGCTCTCCACAAACTGCTCGCACCGTCCCCACATTTTGGCAGTGCTGTAGGAGGAAGCTATCTAGAACTGGCCAACACAGTGAGTACTTTCTGGTTCACAGAACACACCTTTAATAAGCCTGTGTATATGCCAATGCAAATATTTTAATTTTGAGCTCCAGGGGACATATCAGGTATTGTCTTTTTTTATTGCACTTAATGGCATTGTACCCTTTCCAACATTGCCAATAATGCTAAGTGTTCCAAACACCTATGATTGGTGACTTTACTCATTATTAAGAGCAGAGTAGACTCTTAAATAGTGTTTTTGGTCTGTCACTTGTACAGGTTAAATTTCTAGACTATCTACAATGGATTTTCCACAACTAGAATACTTCTAGGGTACCAGACATTACAGATTAATTACTGTTTCTGTTTGTACTTCTAAACTATGTTCTGTTGAAAACTATGTCACAACTTGGCATTCCATTTGCTTAGTTGAGCCTTTCCTTTTACCTTGGGATGAATCATTACCATGATGACCTATGACAGGAAAGCTGTTGTCTTCCCTTTTACATTAGCTCTGAGGAATGAGGGTGGATGGATGATGGCCTGTGCTACTTTGGGTGACATGCAGACAGTTTCTAAATTGAGGTTGCTGTCCAATCACTGTGGGAAAAGTCAAGAAATCTACCTTGCTTCTTGACACAGCAGTTGGAACGGTGGCACAAGCATCTTGACAACTTCCCTTATGTATATTTACAGTCAGTTTTGATGTAGACCAGTGGTTTTCAGACTTCTTGTGTTTGAGGCACATTATCTAATTCTGACTTTTTTGGTGACGTATTTGAAGGAACTAACAGTCCTATGTATGCCAGCAATAATTAAAATATAATTATCAGACAAGTACCAATTAAAGAACATTCTACAAAATAGCTAGCCAGTACTCCTTGAAACTGTCAAGGACAGCAAAAGCAAGGAAAGTCTGAGAAAGAGAAACTGTCACAGCTTCAGAAAACATGACAACTAAATGTAATGTGGTACATACAATCAGTGGGACATTAGGTACAAGCTAATGACTAAATTATGGACTTTCGTTAATAACATATCAATAGTGGACCGGCCTAGTGGCACGTTAGTTGGGAGCTGGCTTGGGACTCCAGCTCTGAGCAGCAGGGCCTCAGTTCAGATCCCACACATGAGGGCCAGTGACACTGCCGTCTACAGCTAAGATGGTGAACAACAGCTCAACCTGGAGCTGGAATGCCATGAGTCGCCAGCGACGGTGTAGGCTATAGTGGGGCTACAGTGGGCTGCCATGGGCTACCGTGTGTAGCTGGTGGCCAGCGTGAGTGGCCGGCGGCCGGTGTGAGCTGCCAAGAGCCGCAGTGAGCGGCTGTCCAGAGGCCAGCGACTGATCTGCCTTGGCTGGGAAGAGTGCAATGATGGTGCCAACATGGGCCAGTGAAGCCACGTCCTCCACATCTAGACTGAAGAACAAAAGGACAGCAACTTGTCTGTTCCCCTTCCCCTGATTCCCCAGTGCTGTTCCCCTCCTCCAATTGTCAAATAAAATCTTAAAATAATAATAATAATAATAATGTATCAATAGTGATTCATTAATTGTGACAACTAAACCATAATAATAAAGATATTAATAATAGGGGAAACTGGGTGTACAGTATATGAGAATTCTCTGTCCTGTCTTTGCCACTTTTCTGTAAATCTGAAACTACTATAAAATTTAAAATGTACTAAAAACACACACATACACACAAAATCACTACTAGGGCATGACTGTGTCTCTTATAATCTGTAAAAGCACCCATAGTTATTGCACTGTTTGTCCCTTGGTCACCCTTCAAAGACATCCTTGCTCAGTTTGAATGGAACCATTAACTGTTCTAATCTTGACTCCCTGCATGCTCAGGAGATGAGGCAAGCACCAATCAGTAAACATGTCATCTTTCTTGAGCCTGGGCCCATACTTAGGCTATGTTATTACAAATAATTTGCAGCAAGTTTTACTTTCCCCTGTGCTATATCAGCACAGCCTTTTTCAAGACAAACATGCCAGGGCATTATGGGTTATAGAAAGAATCAATTGATCAAATTTATTTTGATCAAAATTGACATTGATCAAAACACATTGATCAAAAGTTAGTGGCTTGCTCTGACAGGTTCAGGATTCACGGCCCACCAGTTTTCTGAAGCAAACCTATTGTTGAAAACTGTAGGAGTTGGCTGTTTTCTACCTCTGTGTGTCTCCTTGGTTCTTAGCCTCTCTAGTAACCTCTTGAATTTCATTCCATTCTCCCATCTTCCAGTCAGAGGCCAGCTCATCCTCTGGGCTTCCCACAGCCAGGTTCTCTCTGTGTATTATTGTGAAGCTTTGGAACTGATGTAACTGCCTGAGATGGCCTCTGCAGAGGCCACTTTGAGAAACACTCCCTTAAATGTCAAGCACCCAGCTCAGGCAGGAGTGTTCACTAAAATTCATGAACTATACACTTACAGTTTGCACACTTTTCTGTACATATGTCTATAAAAGCTTATGACAGACACATAACCAATGATGGTAGATATTCATTGGAATACACAAATAAGTTTTTTAAAAAGCTATAACTCCACAAAACAAAGAAAGTTGTACATGCTCACTTAAGGTGGTTCCTTGGTGAGAATAAAACCATAAATGCAATTGCAGGCATTGAAGTCCTGTGACAGTGATTATGTTATTTATTTTGTCACTGAATTGAAAATTTAAAATATTATTTAAGCTTTGCAGACCCTTGATAATGTCCTCGGACCTGTGGGAAAATGTATTTTGAGCCACAATTCCCTTTCCTGTATTTTCACCATTTGTCGGGTGACGTTGGAGTCCTCTTGTCAAATGTGAGAAATAATAAATGACCGTCGTTTTAACCATTGTGCTTAGCGTGGTTTGTTTCATAGCAATAGCTGATGCAGGGTCTGCTCATGGGTCCATGGAGCCCAGTTTGATAAATACCCTGTCGAGGTGGCCAAAGAAAGCAAATAGCCGCGCTCAACTGCACACTTGGGCAATGCCTTCACTTATATACTCACATTAACAATAATTTATGTCCCTTCTAAAACAAATCCTAAAATTAAGTTCTGGTTTGTTTTTAAATAGCTTCTAAGAGCAAAAGGCATTTTATCAGTGTCCGGTTTGGAGACAGAGACCACACAATAATTCACACAGGGCAAGTTTAACATTAAAAAAATATTAATTGGTAGCAGGGGATTACCTACTAAGGAGTAAAGAAAACTCTAATGACTATAGAGTAGCACGTGTAACGCGCAGCCACTCCCTCTAAAGCTGAGGCAGAGTGCCCAAGGTTTTAGACGACCCCATTGAAAGGGAGTGGCTGGGGCCCACTGGTGACAGAGTAGTTCCATGACATGCTGCAGGTCAGGGCTTGTGAGCAGGAAACCAGAGCTCTGGAGTGTCAGTCAGCTCAGCTTACCAGGATGCCATCCACTGGGGAATCAGCAAGACTCACTGAGCATCACTAAGAAGATGTTGGTCGAAGTGCCAGAGGAATTCACTGGGAAGCTGCCTGCTGCAGTGGCAGTGAAACCCCCTGAGAAGTGCCCCAATAGTGCCACTGAAACTTATTGGGGGCAAGCACCGCTGGATGTCTTGTGCTACTGGCTTCCATCCATTACAAGAACACACAGGGGCAAGCACAGCAGAGCCCGGAGAATTCCTTTCTTCCTCCGGTGTCCCCCCCAGTAATCCCTATTGATAAAGGAGAACCCGTTAAAGGGTTCAGCTTCAGTATCACAATGCAGGGCATAGAAAGGGGGACGTGGCAGTGAGAAGCAATAAATAGATAACTGGCACAAGCATTTTTAGCATTGATGAGCTTCTGGAAGCTTCCTACACTAGCTTTTACCTTTCTAATCATCTCTCCCTTTTCTTCTCCCACCAATACCTGTCTTCTGCTCCTTCTTCCAAAGACGGTGGATATTATGACTTTGAAGCTATCGTACTGTTCAAAATGCTAGGGCAGGGGCCGGCCGAGTGGCACATTGGTTAAGAGCTGGCTTGGGACGCCAGAGGGCCCCAGTTCGGATCCCACATATGAGGGCCAGTGACACTGCCCTCTACAGCTAAGATGCTGAACAACAGCTCAACCTGGAGCTGGGCTGCCGTGAGTCGCTGGCCGACAGCAGGTGGGTTGCCATGGGCTACTATGTGTAGCCAGCAGCCAGCGTGAGCGGCCAGCAGCCGCTGTGAGTGGCCGTCCAGAAGCTGGCGACTGATCTGCCTTGCCCAGGAAGAGCACAATGATGGTGCCAACTTGGGCCAGTGAAGCAACGTCCTCCACAACTAGGCAGAGCAACTTCTATGTTCCCCTTCCCCCAAATCCCCAATAAAAATCTTTAAAAAAAAAATTGCGAGGGCAACAAGATGGTGTACATAGAAGCTTGCAGCAGTCAGAGTTTTACCCGAGAAGCAGAATAGCTACAAGCATATAAAGGATCTATTATAAGGCGTAGAACTTACATGAATGTAGAAGCTGGCAGAGCCATCTATGCAGGCTGTTGATTCTGCATCTAGTGTTGAGCCTGAAGTTACTAGAAGTCTGTCAGATCAGCAGATGAGAAGGAAGGCTGGTGGTAGAGGAGAGCAAGGAGAAGCTAGAAGGCATAAGGCCAAATTGAGACCTAGGAAGACAGACTGAACCCACTTCTGTCTCTTACCATGTCCCACCTCGATGCAGTGGGTGACCTGCAGGAGAAGCTGGCACCTATTCCTATGGAGCTGCACACACACCTGGCCCAGGTCTCAGAGACGCTGAAGGAGGATACCAGGTGAGAGTGGGAGCAATCCTGGTATGCCACGGAGGTAAACAACAACTTTCAAAGAATAAAAAGATGACTTTTTCACTTCTGCCTTCTGGATTTCACACAGAATGTCTCTCGTGGCCATGCAGAACCATACAGGGACTAGAGCTCTGGGAAACACACTTCTGGTTTGGCTAAGTTGACTCAGCACCAAGCCACCCCAGAGCAGTGGCTAAGCTACCAGTACAAGCTCAGCCTAATTCACAAAACTATCAGCAGAGCAACGTG